CATCGCTTCTAGGTTGGAGGCCATCGCTATTAGGTTGGAGGCCATCGTTAGTAGATTGGAGGTCATTGCCGTTAATTTCGTGAAATTCCAAGCTTTGCGACTTTTTCATTTGTCGAGCTCTTCAACAATGCTTCAAGAATGAAAGTGATGGGAACAAGGCGTCGTGCCTGATGATGAAAGCGCTTCTTGTTTCTAACCTCGAGACAACAAATAGAGACAATAATACGATTGACAAAATGTGATCATGTCGTGAAAGAAATGCAAGCTTCTGAAAGCATGTCAGGACCATATGCAAACCAGTCTACAGTAGCTTCAGCTTGACTGCAAAGTGTTGACCAGCATAGTGGTCACACTGGTCACACTGACCCTCCGGCTGAACAACTTCGAGAAAGTACAGAACGTCAATTTTGAACGAAAGGGCAAGTCCGCATGAAATCATATGAAGGGTCTTGGAACCCGCGAAACTTTTCAAAGAGACGTCAACCACCATTCTCATACATACGAAAGCCAATCCTATCAGATTAACGAACATGGTTCGAAGGCTAAGTTTCCCTAAAAATCTACAAACCAGATCATTAGTTCGAGCGCTTCTTCAAGGAAGGTCCGCCCTCAGGCGGGAGGAGCTTCCTTGAAGAAGCTCGAGCTATCCTGCGTCCATATGTAGCGTCTCAGTAGCTAGGAGCGTACAGGCCGGCCGTACAGGTTTAGTCCCTTACTTAATTGACTAGGCACCTACTTGTGCATCAAGTAAGGAGGGAGGGCCACGGCGGCCACGGTGCGAAAAACACGCCGCTTCATGTGCCAAAACACCATCTTCAAGGCCACGCAGTTGCTGGTCTTGAAGTCGAAGGACCGAACCACTTGCCCAAAAGAGCCTTTTCCTAGAGGGTTCAGCACCTGCGCAGGGAGGTGCTCCAAGTCATTCGTGTGCTTAGCGTTGCTGTGTAACTGCACACATTAATAGAAAGCACACAGACTAAAGATGAGAGCCTTAGAGCCTTAGGTATGCACCACCAAGCCCTTCATCAAGCTTTGGAAACCAAAACGATACAGTGACGAGCATTCAGGATATACCAAGTAATTAAAAGGTTTCAAGCTTCAGGATTCGCATTGGACGAGCATTCGCAAGGTCCTTGTGACTTGTGGAGATTGCAAACCAGCTTGAGTTTGATCAAAATGATCCTACCCTCAAATCGACATCAATCAGACGTGCCTGGTGAAACTTTTCACGAAATTGCTTGTTTCTAGTACATGGAACTTTCTAAGGCAAGCAAACGCAGGGCGACGCACGGCTCACCTCGTACCGGTACAATATATGGTCATGCCTCAAAGGAGGGTGCAAAAGGCTTTTCAAACGATGTGACATCGTAAGTACATCGTAAGGCTTTTCCTGCAGCTCTGCCATTTCTTAAAGTTTCAAACAAGAAAGACCACCATATTTGGCAAACCATTAGTACAGCCCAGAGGTGTCTGAACCTTCCTTGGCTTGCCAGCAAGACCACCATGTAGTCACCGCGCTCGTCATCGTAGGAATGGTTGTTTGTGGAAGCCTCGGAAGTTCCCCCTGTCAAACCGTCATCAACATGGCTGATTACTACTCATTGCGATTCTTTCCGCTCACAATCATTCACATGTGACAACCAAAGCAGAAATAAGAACACAAAAGAACACAGAACACTCAGTGTTTGCCAAATCAGTGTCCGTGTTGACTGTCCAACTCGCAGCTTAGCAACCGAGGTCCCCCGAATCTTCTGAGCACCTGAGCCAAAGTACCTGAGACTTTTGAATTGGAGTTACTCCAATTTCAGAGATGGCCTACCAAACGTATTTTCGAAGCCCTATATAAAATTTCCAAGAGCCCATCTGTTTTGGTACGCTTCCCGTTCTTGCATCCTACAGAGGCACCAAATCTGCGGGAAGTCTAGAATTTCTCCTTGTTCGTACTCTGTCAGCTCCTGTCAGGAGAAGCGTCAATCAGTGCAGATTTTGACCATTAGATGTTCAATTGCTCGATGTCGAATGACGGAATAGCAAACGTTGAGCTGTTTGGATTTCCCAATGCTGTCCTCGATGTGATGTTTCAGGACCTGGAACAGGTGCATTCCACAACTCTTGGCCTCTATTAGGTTGCGAAAAAAGAACAATTCAAATTCAAAGGGAACGTGATAGAAAGGGAACCTAAGAGTGATTTCCTCCAACCTAAGAGCGATGGCCTCCAACCTAATAGCGATGGCCTTGAACAAATTAGCGGTGTCCCAATCTGCGTGACTGCAGAATGACCGAACGCTCTGTCTGGATCATATGGGTGTGTATTGGAATAGTGGACCCCCAACCAATGCCTTTTGGTCAACTTTCCGAACCTGCCAGGGGGTCTTTGGGAGGTCTACCTCTTTGAATACACACCCATATTGTTAAACACCTGACGAAACTCCCATCGGAATGGGAACCAATGAACACTAGCAGGTCAGGGGTAGCTTGTTATACGTTGGTTTGATGTCCATGGATCGTCGAATAGATCTCACATGAAGTATGTGCGGCCCCGTATTTCTGTGCTGGAGCAAGGACGCCCAAATGCACATCCTTGCTTCGCTGAGTTCTGATATCCTGCAAATAGCAGCTCCTGGCCTTCAAGTCATCCATGTGGATTTGTCTGAGGCTACCCCGAGGTTGACTCCATTTCGTTCACTGATGGTGTCGGACTCTAACTTGGAAGCTGAGCAAAAAATGAATCTGGCCTTGGCAGGGCTCAAGGGAATCTCCAATTTCAACTTCTCCTTCTCCTGCCAGAGACATGCATGCTTCTCTGCGGGATTTCGCAAAGCCGGAGTAAATGCACTAGTGCATCGCCGTTGTTGGCAAATGGACAAAGGCCTTTTTGCTGCATTTACAATGGTTAAATGCAAACAAGTAAAAGACCAGCAGCCGAAAGCGGCAACGGCAATCAAACCACATCAATAATGTAACAAGTACAAGGCTTTCTGGCCGCTTGCATTTTTTCTGCAGTGTTTTAAGCTTTGCAAACTTTGCAATGAAACATTGTCAACCTTTTTGGTGCTGCCAGGAGCCTTGTTAAAACACATATTTTGTGCCATTGTTTTTACTTCTTTTGTTCGCACCGGATTTTCATTTTTCCTGCCTCTTTTGTTCGCCGTTTACATTGGCCCCTACGGGCGTAAAGACAATTGGTTTTGCTTCTTGTTACTAGTAAGAATGCTCCTAGTAGCAAGGCCAGGAGCCCCTAATAGCATCTTGCTCCAAGTTCGTTTTTGCCCAACGTTTCTGCCCTCTTTCAGCGCCTTTTCTCGTTCTCTTTCCTTTTCTTTCTCTTGCTCTAGACGTTCGCGTTCACGCTCTCGCTCACGTTCCTGAAAGGCTGGTTGTTTGACGACGCTATTACAAAAAAGACACATAAAAAAGGCAAAGGAGATGAACAAGGAAAGTAAGATTATTCTGCACTGCTTCGCTATTCGATCCTATGGGGCTTTGCGCTTTGCCTTGGCTCTTCGGAGCCTGAAGAATTCCCGTCTGGACTGAGTTAGTGGCTCGTTCACGCTCGCGTTCCTTCTCTCGTTCAGCCTCATAGGATGCAAAGCAATCCTTGTTTCTTAAGCCATTTGAGTAGCGACCTTGCTACTAGTAGTGATGGCCTCCAAACTACTTGCGATGGCCTCCACCTATTAGCGTCCTTGCTAGTAGCGATGCACTTTGTTACTAGTAGCGTAGCTTCTCGTTACTAGTAGTAATGCCAGGAGCTAGTAGCTTCTTGTTAATGGTTTCCTAAAACCCGCAAAGCCTTGACACTCAAGCCGGACTTATGCCAGAAAGCTCGCTGATTCCAAGTCACTCGTTCAGCTTGGAGCTGACTGTGGATGCTCGCAGCTGGCGCAATCGACGACTCGACAGCTGTGTTTTCAGGCTCAAAATTGTCAGCTTTGTGTCTGAACACATCTGCAGATTGAATGGCACAACCCCAACTTCAGATTCAATGGACACACCTGAAATAGGGGAAGAAGAGCCGTTTAAATTGCCGGACTCGTTGTTGGGTAAGCAATCCCGCGGACACACCTGGACAAACACCTTCAAATATCGGCCTTTTGGTGAGGGGGTTGGCCTTTAAGAGGTGGTACAAGTAGCAAATGGAATATAGAACTAGTAGCTTCAGTAGCTGTTGAGTAGGCCATTTGCTAGCTACTTGTCACATGATTGATTCCACTTTCATCACACCGCACAAGGCCCCTAAAAGGACCAAGGCTTCGTTTTCATCCTCGTGGTGAACATCTTGGGTGTCGCGTGAATCCTCGTGGTTCCCCTCACAGCCACATGCTGAGACCAAAGGTCACGGTATCTTATGGTCATTCGGCCTGAAATGAGCTGCGGCTGCCCGAGCATTCCACCGCCTGAGAGAAGCTGCTCCTGAAGGCGGCAGAAGGCTCCAGTGATATCTTTGACCCGGGCCAACGCTGAGGTTTGTTTCCTTTGGAGACCTAGGTTTGACCATGAAGCAAAACCGAATCTCAGGCTTTGCCAATGTTGCTGCTTCAATGGGTGACAACACGTGTCTATTTACTTCAACGTGCAAAAAACGAAAAACACACGTTAATCACACAACGACAGCTGTTTGAGCCGCACTCCTTTTGAGCAGCCCAGCTCGAGCCACCTTTGGAGGACGGCCGTGCCGTCAGACTCCCCCGAGCGGCTCCAGAAGGATCTCGGGCTCCGCTGGACCTAAATACAGGAATGGATGACCACGGACCATGTGCCCGTTAGGGGTATCGAATGGTACCGAACACAACATGCTTTTGACATCAACAAAAAGGAAACAACATGCTCTTGCGAGGCTTCTGAAAACTATCTGTTGCATTCTGTTGCCACTGAAGGTCT